TCTGTCTGTCTGTCTGTCTGTCTGTCTGTCTGTCTGTCTGTCTGTCTGTCTGTCTGTCTGTCTGTCTGTCTGTCTGTCTGTCTGTCTGTCTGTCTGTCTGTCTGTCTGTCTGTCTGTCTGTCTGTCTGTCTGTCTGTCTGTCTGTCTGTCTGTCTGTCTGTCTGTCTGTCTGTCTGTCTGTCATCTATCAATCTATCAATCAATCTATCAATCAATCAATCAATCTATCTATCTATCTATCTATCTATCTATCTATCTATCTATCTATCTATCTATCTATCTATCTATCTAATCTCTCCCTCTCCCCCTCTCTCTCTTATCTCTCATCTATCTATCATAGAATCATAGAGTTGGAAGGGACCTCCAGAGTCATCTAGTCCAACCCCCCCTGCATAATGCAGGGAATCCACAAATACTTTCCACACACACACCCACAGTGACCCCTGCTCCATGCCCAGAAGATGACAAAATAACTCCAGGATTCCCGGCCGGAGAAAACTGGCCTGGAGAAAAATTGCTTCCTGACCTCAATGTGGCCATCAGCGTTTCCCTGGGCATCTCTCTCTCTCTCTCTCTCTCCCCCCTCCATTTCATCCTCACCACAACCCCATGAGGGAGGTGAGGCTGAGAGCGTGTGACCAGCCCCGGGTCGCCCAGCAAGCTTCCCCCCTTCGCCCCAAGCCCATGATGGCTATCGAAAGTCAGCGTGGTGTAGTGTTTGAAGTGTCGGGCTAGGATCTAGGAAACCCGGGCTCTAATCCCCCACTCTGTCATGGAAGCTCGCTGGGTGACCCAGGGCCAGTCACACGCTCTCAGCCTAACCTACCTCATAGGGTTGTTGTGAGGATGAAACAGAGGAGAGGAGAATGACAGAAGCCACTGGGGGAGAAAGGCGTGATATAAATGAAATGATTAAACAAAGTCAACCAAAGAAAGCTACATCGAGATGTGGGGGCTCGGGGAGGTGATTGGCCCAGAAGAAGGAGAGGAGCTTTCCCTGTGGCTGGCGCCAGGTGTCCGGCCCTCCAGTCTCTTGGGCGTCTCTCTGAGGATGGCAAAAGAAAAGAGCCCAGGTTTGGTGTTGTGGTTAGGAGCTCGAACTCTAATCTGGGAGAACCGGGTTTGATTCCCCGCTCCTCCACATGCAGCTGCTGGTGCGACCTTGGGTCAGTCACGAGTTCTCTCAGAGTTGTTCTCTCAAGGGCAGTCCTCGAGAGAGGTCCCGCCTACGTCACAGGGTGTCTATCATGGGGAGGGAAAGGGAAAGGAGATTGTAAGCCGCTCTGAGACCCCTTCGGGTAGTGAAAGACAGGGTATAAATCCAACCTCTTCTCCTTCTTCGACATCAGACCAAGGGTCCATCTGTGCCAACAACGGCCAGGCAGAGCCTCGGCAAAGCTCTTCAGCAGCGTGGGGTAGTGGTTAAGAGCGGCAGACTCTAATCTGGAGAACTGGGTTTGATTCCCCACGCCTCCACGTGCAGCTGCTGGTGTGACCTTGGGTCAGTCACGAGTTCTCTCAGAGCTGTTCTCTCAGGAGCAGTTCTCTCAGAGCTCTCTCAGCCCCTCTCCCTCACAGGGTGCCTGTTGTGGGGAGGAAATGGGAAAAGAGTTTGTAGGCCGCTTTCCTTAAGGTAGAAAAAAGCAGGGTATAAAAACCTTATCTTCTTTTCCAGCAGAGTATGAAGGTTCAGGTTAGTCTCAGTCGCTGGTGTCCCCCCCCCAACCCTTGTAATAAGGACCCTTTTTTACCTTTACTTGACGTCTGTGGACTCGATCCCTTCATCGTCTGCGAACCCGTCACTGTCTGCAATCCCTTCGCCGCCTGCTGACTTGTAGACATCTCTGCAGTCTGGGCTTGTACGGTTGGCAATAGAAAGATGCTCGTTGTCATTCGCGCATACCTGAAGGGATCTTATATACTTACCGGTGTGGGAGGGAGCCAGAGAGAAGGTGTGGTTCCCAGTTTTAAAAAAACCCAACTCAGGCTCTGAAGGAAAGAGCTGACGCCAAAAATCCCCGAACTGACCTTGGCCCTGCCTTCCGTCCACCCCCAGTGAGCAGAGGTTGGTGCTCACACGCCCTCCTGAGATAGAAAACTTGAGATAATAATCTCTCTCTCTCTCTCTCTCTTTTGAGAAGACAAAAACAAGATTTGGATTCCGGCCAGTCAAGTTCCCCCCTTCTTAACGCACCCAGAAACGGTGCTATAGTACAGACGGTGCGCCGAGGGGAAGCAACGGGTACCCATTCGCCAGATGCCACGGCTAGCCCTCACAGAGCAAGGGTTGCCAAATTCCAGGTGAGACATACAAAAATATATATCACTGTGTATGTCTATAGTAAAACAATTTTTCAAGGACCGTGATGTTTATATAGAAGAAGAAGAGATTGGATTTATCTATCTATCTATCTATCTAATCTCTCCCTCTCCCCCTCTCTCTCTTATCTCTCATCTATCTATCATAGAATCATAGAGTTGGAAGGGACCTCCAGAGTCATCTAGTCCAACCCCCCCTGCATAATGCAGGGAATCCACAAATACTTTCCACACACACACCCACAGTGACCCCTGCTCCATGCCCAGAAGATGACAAAATAACTCCAGGATTCCCGGCCGGAGAAAACTGGCCTGGAGAAAAATTGCTTCCTGACCTCAATGTGGCCATCAGCGTTTCCCTGGGCATCTCTCTCTCTCTCTCTCTCTCCCCCCTCCATTTCATCCTCACCACAACCCCATGAGGGAGGTGAGGCTGAGAGCGTGTGACCAGCCCCGGGTCGCCCAGCAAGCTTCCCCCCTTCGCCCCAAGCCCATGATGGCTATCGAAAGTCAGCGTGGTGTAGTGTTTGAAGTGTCGGGCTAGGATCTAGGAAACCCGGGCTCTAATCCCCCACTCTGTCATGGAAGCTCGCTGGGTGACCCAGGGCCAGTCACACGCTCTCAGCCTAACCTACCTCATAGGGTTGTTGTGAGGATGAAACAGAGGAGAGGAGAATGACAGAAGCCACTGGGGGAGAAAGGCGTGATATAAATGAAATGATTAAACAAAGTCAACCAAAGAAAGCTACATCGAGATGTGGGGGCTCGGGGAGGTGATTGGCCCAGAAGAAGGAGAGGAGCTTTCCCTGTGGCTGGCGCCAGGTGTCCGGCCCTCCAGTCTCTTGGGCGTCTCTCTGAGGATGGCAAAAGAAAAGAGCCCAGGTTTGGTGTTGTGGTTAGGAGCTCGAACTCTAATCTGGGAGAACCGGGTTTCATTCCCCACTCCTCCACATGCAGCTGCTGGTGCAACCTTGGGTCAGTGACAAGTTCTCTCAGAGCTGTTCTCTCAAGGGCAGTCCTCGAAAGAGCTCTCTCAGTCCCGCCTACGTCACAGGGTGTCTATCATGGGGAGGGAAAGGGAAAGGAGATTGTAAGCCGCTCTGAGACCCCTTCGGGTAGTGAAAGACAGGGTATAAATCCAACCTCTTCTCCTTCTTCGACATCAGACCAAGGGTCCATCTGTGCCAACAACGGCCAGGCAGAGCCTCGGCAAAGCTCTTCAGCAGCGTGGGGTAGTGGTTAAGAGCGGCAGACTCTAATCTGGAGAACTGGGTTTGATTCCCCACGCCTCCACGTGCAGCTGCTGGTGTGACCTTGGGTCAGTCACGAGTTCTCTCAGAGCTGTCAGGAGCAACTTCCTAACTGTAAGGGTGGCTGAGCAGTGTGGAACGGACTGCCTCGGGAGGGGTCGGATGCTCCTTCGCTGGACTTTTTCAAGCGGAGGCTGGACGACCATCTTTCTGGTATGTTCTAGGGCTACCTTTCAGCTATGCTCCTGCAGTGTGCAGGGGGCTGGACTAGATGACCTGCAAGGTCCCTTCCAACTCTCACATTCTATGATTCTATGAGGAGGAGAGTTGGAATTATACCCCACCCTTCACTTGGCATCTCAGAGCAACTTACAATTCCCTTCCTTTCGACCAAGCGGACACGGGAGCGCCTTCCTCAAGAGCTCCCAAGTTCCGGGATAAGGGCCAGAAACAGAGGTGGGTGGGGGAAGTTTCCTTGGAAGGCGACACCCTTCCAGCGGAGTTAAAATGTAGGCCACAAGGGGCGGCGGCCGATCCGGAGGAGTGTCGCTAGCGCAGTCAGGCTCCTCCGGCCTAAAACCTGCTCTCGGATGAGGTAACAAAACACTCCCCAACCTACTTCCCCACAAAGAGAGGAATGATAACAATGCCGGTTTGCGTAAACGTCGGTAGCTCTTGCGGCAACGGGAGATAGTGGGGAGGGGATTCATGGTGGAGACACCCTGTGAGGCAGGCGAGGGCCGAGAGAGCTCTTTCGAGGACTGCCCTTGAGAGAACAGCTCCGAGAGAACGCATGACTGACCCAAGGTCACACCAGCTGGCTGCATGTGGAGGAGTGGGGGAATCGAACCTGGCTCTCCTTCAGGTAGTGAAGGGTGGGGTATAAATCCAATCTCTTCTCTTCTTCTATAGTATCCACCTTCCAAAGCAGCCAGTTTGTCCCCCAGGAGAACTGATTTCCACAGACCAGAGATCAACTGTAACGCCTACAAATCTTCAGGCCCCCACTAGGGTAGCCAGGTCCCCTTTGGCCACCGGCAGGAGACACAGGGTAGGGTTGCCAGCGCCAGGTTGGAAAACTCCTGGAGATTTGGGGATGGACGGGGACCTCAGTGGGGCACAATACAAGAAGAGACTGGATTTATACCCTGCCCTTCACTCAGAGCCTCAGAAAAGCTTACAGTCTCCTACCCTGTGAGGTAGGTGGGGCTGAGAGAACTCTTGACAGAAACGGCTCTTTTTCAAGAACAGCTCTTATCAGAACTACGGCTTGCCCAAGGTCATCCAGCAGGTGCACGTGGAGGAGTGGGGGAATCAAACCCAGCTCTCCCAGATTAGTCTGCGCACTTAACCACGACACCAGACTGGCTCCCGGGTGGCCCTTGTAATTTTGTAAATACACTATTAACTTTGCCCTTGGTTTGGTGTAGTGGTTTGGTGTAATGTGCGGATTCTAATCTGGGAGAACCGGGTCTGATTCCCTCACTCCTCCACTTGCACCTGCTGGATGACCTTGGGCAAGCCGTAGTTCTGACAAGAGCTGTCCTTGAAAAAGAGCAGTTTCTGTCAGAGTTCTCTCAGCCCCGCCTACCTCACAGGGTGTCTGTTGTGGGGAGGGGAAGGGAAAGGACTTTGTAAGCCCCTCTGGGACACCTTTGGGTAGTGAAGGGCCGGGGATAAATCCAATCTCCTCTTCTTCTAAATGTGCAGATCCCTCTGAGACTCCTTTGGCTAGTGAAGGGCGGGGTATAAATCCAATCTGTTCTTCTTCTTCTTCTATTGCGTCTGGGTTTTTTTCCATATGTATTCTGCTCCCTCTAGTGGTCGATTACATAGTACATCACTGTATGCCCTTGAAGCCGATCCAGAAATGACAACTGGTGCAGAATGTGACGGCGCGCCTGCTGACGTCAACGCCTCCACAGGCTCACGTTAGGCACGTGCTCTGCCAACTGAATTGGTTGCCAGTTGAGTACCGGATTCGGTTCAAGGTGCTGGTTTTGACCTTCAGAGCCTTATATGGCCTGGGGCCGACATATCTAAGGGACCGCCTCTTCCCATATATGCCTCGAAGAGCTTTACGCTCGAAAGATCAACACCTCCTGGTGGTCCCCGGCCCGAGGGACACCCATCTTGCCTCAACCAGGGCCAGCGCTTTCTCTGTCCTGGCCCCAGCCTCGTGGAACGTGCTTCCTATTGAGACCAGGGCCCTGCAGGATCTCCTTCAATTCCGCAGGGCCTGCAAGACGGAGCTCTTCCGCCAGGCCTTTGGTTCAGGTAGCGGGTGCCCGTCTATGGCCTCCCGTAGGTTGTTGTCACCCATCTGTCACCTGTCTACTGACCACCGACAACTGGCCTTGAACTCATTGTACCACCGGGCCAGAACTCTATGGCCAACTGATGCTGTTCCAAGCTGTACCCATTATTTCAATTGTTATAATGGGGTTTCGGTTTGTGCTTTTAATGCTATAAACTGAAATTGTATTTATTTCGATGATGTTACCCGCCCTGAGCCCGCGGGCAGGATGGAAATGCAAACGATAAATAAATAAATATTTCCCTGCACTGTAGAACTGCAGGGAGATATGCCGGACGTACAGCGATGTAATACTGAATCAAGCACTAAAACGTAGAGGTAAAGGTTCCCTTGCTCGAAAGCCAGTCAAGTCCGACTCTAGGGTTGCGGTGCTCATCTCCGTTTCAAAGCCGAAGAGCCAGCGCTGTCCGAAGACGTTTCCATGGTCATGTGGCCGGCATGACTAAACACCAAGGCGCACGGAACACTGTTACCTTCCCACTGAAATGGTACCTATTTATCTACTTGCAATCTCTTGCTTTCGAACTGCTAGGTTGGCAGGATTTAAACTCTTACATTGGTATTTTACATGTTTGTTGTATTCTGTGGGTGTGCTTGAGCTAAATAAATAAATTGAATTGAAATGACGTCATCATGACATCATCATGAAAACAACATCCAAAAAGCATAATTGATTACAAAGCATTATACATCATTTGAATAAAAATTCCCTTATTGGTCAAATGTAAAGAAAGGTGTGGTTAGATAGTATCTAAATGTTAACCTAACCAGAATAATATTTGCCAAGGATTCTCTATACCCCAAAACAAAAGTGTTTTTTTCCAGATACGAAGCTAAAATCCTCTTGACACACACGGCAAAGTTTTCCCCTAAACAATTGAAAACCATGAACTTTATACCAACAGAACGTCTTGTCTGCTAACATCAGCTAGAAAATTAATCTAACCTACAAGAGGAAGGTAAAGGTAAAGGTTCCCTTGCTCGAAAGCCAGTCCAATCTGACTCTAGGGTTGCGGTGCTCATCTCTGTTTCAAAGCCGAAGAGCCAGCGCTGTCTGAAGACATTTCCATGTCATGTGGCCGGCATGACTAAACACCAAGGCGCACGGAATGCAGCTCCTTAACAAGAGGAAGGCCTGCTATTTAATAGGCCTTCATTACATCCTTAGAAAGTCTTACTTAGGAGAAAAATCTATAAAACCAGAAATCCGTCGGTAGCTTTCCCTGTTTTTTGGGAGTCAGTCTCTAATCAATTCCATTTTCATCAAAGAGACAAAGAGTGGAGGGGGAGGGAGGGAGGTTCTGGAAAATTTCGGAATGCCACTCTGTACGTGCTCAGAGGCATTCCTCTTAGGGTTGGCAGCTGAGAGCTGGGAAACAGCAAGAGATGGGGAGGCGAGGACACGGGCACTGTCATGTCAAATGTGTGACATCATTTCCGGGCCAAACCTGGAAGTGACATCACACGGCTCCAGGATTCAGTGACGTCAGGCCATCGATGCAATACCCCATCAATTTGAAGATGGGTTGATACAAGGATTTGCGGGGGGGGGGATCTCATTTCCCCCTCCCCTGTTGGTTTTTCTCTTCCTCAGCAGCCCCCATAACCTCTCCTTTTCCTGCTTCCTTCTCCCCTTCCATCCACCAGCCAATCTACCTATGACCATCCAGGGCTCTTTTTGTAGAAAAAGCCCAGCAGGAACTCATTAGCATAATAGGCCACACCCAACAGCAGAAACACATTAGCATATTAGGCCACACCCCTGACAGCACAGCTCATTAGCACATTAGGCCACACCCCCATGTTACCAGAAGTGTGGTCATCCAGCCACAGCCACCTTTCCCTTCTTATTCTGTTTACCTTGTTTGTGGTCAAAACCCAGGGCCTTTTTTGTAGCAGGAACTCCTTTGCATGCTAGGCCACGCACCCCTAATGTAGCCAATCCTAATGAGTTCCTGCTGTTGGGTGTGGCCTATTATGCTAATGAGTTCCTGCTGGGCGTGGCCAACTTGGAAGCCAGCCGGAACGCCGTTCCTGTGCGTTCCTGCCCAAAAATAGCCCTGACCGTCACCATCTTTAGCTCTCCCTCCTTCCCTCCTCATAGCATCTACCTGGGAAAATTCTGACCCTGTTGTGTCACAGGGAACCCGCAAGGACTTGTGGTGGGCACTATCCCCCTTCTCCACAGTATTTCCACTTTCCCTCCTCCTGGCAGCCCCCGTATCCTCACCTTTCCGTTCCCTCCTTTCCACCTACCAGCTAACCTACTTTTTATCTGCCCTACTTTTCTTCACAATGGGGACCCAAAACATCTTACATTGCATTTTATCCTCACACCAACCCCACGGGGCGGGTTAGGCTGAGAATGTATGACTGGCCCAAGATCACTCAGTGAGCTTCCACAGCAGAGTGGGGATTTGAGCCTGTGTCTCCCACGTCCCAGTGATGATGAGTCCTCCCTCAAAGGCCAGAACAGCCCTCCCCCCAGATTTTTAGACAGAAACCAAAGCTTGAAGGCTACAAATACTGTTGTGGTTGCCTAGCAACCCCATTGACCACTTCATTTCTTAAAGCCACAAAAGCTATTTCTTTAAGCCTGATTAATTCGGGGTGCTTTGTGGATGGGCAACTCTGTTTTCAATGATCTTTCTACACTCACAAAAACGTAGCTGACGTGGGCCTATCCAGACTAAGATCCCGAAAGCCAGCAAAAAAATATGCACGAATCCTGCAGTCACAAAATTTTGATCTAGGGAATGAATGGTTGCAAACATGGATGCAGTCCACCCGATATCTGTAACCTGATAAACGACTGGCCTGCAAGATTTGACTTGCCACATAAAGTATGGGAGACAGCTAATGGATAAGTGAGTGCTTATGGTTGTTTTATGTATGTTTTTAACTGTATTCATATATGCATTTTATGTAAGCCGCCCTGTGCCTGCCTGGAAGGGAGGGCGGGGTATGACTCAAACAAAGAAATAAATACAAAGAGGCTTTGGCAGTTGTGCAGACTTGTTGTTTAAATGGGGCAGAATACCAGGACCTGAATGTGATTGTGGCGCAGCCCGCCAAACTATTTTCCATCTGCCACAGGAATGTGAGTGTCATGCTTTCCAGGGAGATGTGACGGAGCTCTCTGAACTCTCCCCAGTTGTGGCTGAAAAGATTGATAATCTAGATAGATAGATCTAGAGAGCCAGTTTGGTGTAGTGGTTAAGTGTGCGGACTCTAATCTGGGAGAACCGGGTTTGATTCCCCACTCCTCCACTTGCACCTGCTGATGTGACCTTGGGTCAGTCACAAGCTCTGGCACAGCTGTCCTTGAAAAAGAGCAGTTTGTGTCAGAGCTCTCTCAGCCCCACCCACCTCACAGGGTGTCTGTTGTGGGGAGGGGGAGGGAAAGGCATTTGTCAGCCGCTCTGAGACTCCAAGTGAAGGGCGGGGTATAAATCCAATCTCTTCTTCTTCTTCTTCTAGATATGAGTATTTAGGAGGATTGCCCAATCGGTCTGCATACCCGTCGTATCAATTTGGTTGCATGTTTCATATTATCATATGCTTCCTGTGTGTAACTCTGCCACACAATAAATAAATAAAAGTAATAATTTGGGGGTTTTAAACCCCCCTTCCCATGTATTTTTCTCGTTTAGTTTTCAGGTTTTTCCGCAGATTTGTTTCTCCTGGGTTTGTAAAATGATCTGTCTTGTCAGTTCATGGCTGCAGTCTTTGGATTTAAGTATCCACAGATACACGCTGAGAATTAAACATTACCTTCATCGACACTACGTCCCCGATCAAAATTAAAACACAATAGCAGGTTAAAAACATAAAAACAGAGAGAAGACCAATACGCAGCAGAGAGAATCTTTTATTAAGAGGAAGCAGGTTAGAACCATGGAGAGTATCAGATTCCAAAAGCACGCATCAATTGCTCAGGTTGTAATACACTGGGACGAATGCTAGGGATCCATTCCTTAACAGTGGTGCTTTTCCCCCCTTACAAAAAGGGAAGACTCCTTTCGCTGAGGGAGAAGAACGGCCATTAGCAAAACAGATCCATGAATCTAAGACAAATGATACACGCAAAAGCAATTTCCATTAGGCTTACCCGCCCTTCAGCCAAGCAAAGTTGTTTTAGGTCCTTTCCGCACTTGGATCTCATCCCTGGTTTTATCAGAGTTCAACTCGCAACACAATACCTTGCATTTATCCCTGGTTATAATAGCATCCATCTATCCCGGGACAAGTGTGAGGTGAAACCGGGGTGACCTCAGTGTAATGTGGAAACAAAAAATACCCTGAGATAACTGCAGGGGTGAACTCGAGTGTAGTGTAGCATGTAAAAATACCCCGAGATGATTACAGGGGTGAACTCGAGTGCAGTGCAGAATGTAAGTTCGGGGACAGGGTTGAACCAGGATTTAAGGTCTAGTGTGGAAAGGACCTTTGTCATCTCCCATGCTGGAGAGCTAGAGCAAAGTTTGGCTGCATCTTTCATCAAATCAAATTGATTTTTTTTTTTTAAGTCTGAGAATTGATCTTCCTGCAACTGCTTGTGGGTGATGAGGTTGGACTGTGATCAGCATTCCCGCTAAGCTGAGTGAGTGTGAGCTAGCTCACAATTTTTTAGCTTCTGGCTTACACATTTTTGCCTTCGCTCAGAAAGATTGGCTCCAGAGCAAACTAACTTATGCAGCAGCCAAAATGCTCGCTCACAATTTTAATGGCAGTAACTCACGAAGTGGAATTTCTGCTCACCAGACTCCACAGCTTAGAGGGAACATTGACTGTGACCACCAGTGGCCGATGGGAGCAACTGCCACTGTTTTGACTCTTTCACAAAGCAAAGGTGTTGCACCTAACTGAGAGAGGAAATAAGGCCCCGGTCACACAGAGAATTTGCCGTGCGAAAGGCACAAATGTTGGGTGGCTTTTTGGGGCGCGATCACACCGCAACATCTGAGAAGCGTAGCGCACCCGTGGCGTCCCGCCGAAGATGCGGAGTAAAAATTACCAAGGAAAGTGCACTAGTATCTGGAAAAAGCGCGGCACAGGTGGGTGTCTGATCGCGGGAGCGCTAGTATCCCATCGCATCCGGCACCCATCCACGTCTCATCGCAAACCAGATGTTTTTCATAAGCGCATGTGCACAAACACGAAACTGAAAGCAGTGCTGCTCCGCGGAACTGCACATGCGCACAAACGCAAAACGCTTGTGTGATCGCGCCGCGCCGCTTCTTTGCCACGCTGCAGCATCGCCGTGTGATTGCCAGCTAACAGCCTGAGCATGGAGACTTGGGGGGCCATGTGATCGGGCTACCGCGCTTTATTTTGCTCCGGGGCGAACAGCCACGCTTCCCCCCTTTGTTATCTGGCCCGTGTGACCGGGGCCTAACATCATCAATTCCCAGCTCCATGTGCTCACATCATCAGCCAATCAGTCAACACAGGAAAGCAACAACTTTTAGGGAGGAAAAACACTATGATCCAGAGTCTCATGTGTCCTGCCAAAGACTGTCATGTTCATTTCAACAGGGGGAGCATATGCCTACATGCGCAAGAATGTGTCCAAGGAGCTACTCTGTCTGTTGATATATCTATTTACTTTATTTATCGTCCACCTCTCACACTGGGACTCAACGGGGATTACACAGAGTGAGTCGATACCAGCGACAGGGTGGGATGTTCAATAAACAGTGCAATAGAGGTAGAAAAGAGCCAGAGTCCAGGAGCGTCTTAAAGACTAACAACATTTGTGGCAGGGGAGGAGCTTTCGCGAGTCACGGCTCACGTCTTCAGAAGAGAGCATCTGAAGAGGTGAGCGGTGACTCATGGAAGCTCCTCCCCTGCTACAAATAGTCTTGAAGGTGCCACTGGATTCTTGCTCTTTTCTACCGCTACAGACAGACTAACACGGCCACCTGTCTTGATCCATCTGGAGAAGTGAGTGCTGACTCACGAAAGCTCTTCCAGCGCCTAAGGTTTCTATGCGCAGGAAGTTCTTTCTGCTAGAAGCGAGAGCTTTTTAATATACGACCTTCACCCGCAGCCGAAGGTGGTACAGTCCAGGAATAGCTTTCCATTCCACTCCACCGAAAAGGTAAAAACTGACTCTCTTAAGTTAGGCGAGCAGGGGAAATGTGAAACCGATGCAGTGTCAACTAGATTGACACCACGCCAGCATTTAACGGTCACACCTGGAGTTAGAAGAGAAGGCACAGAGAGAGACCGACAGCAAACCCCCCCCCCCCATTTCTCCACCAAGGCCTTCCTTTAGATCCAGATATCAGAAGTGGTGTCTCCACCCGGGTAGCGGATCTCGTGGGCGAGGGCTGGCCCATCCGGCTCTTTCCCGAAATCCACGAGGAACTTCTTGTTCACTTTCAAGCCGCCTTTCTCGGTGTCCACGTCGATTTGTAACATGACGGAGCCTTCCCTGGACAGAGAGAAGGACATCGTTGGAGGTAAGGATGGTGCCAGAATTCTGCACGGCTTCTCCCCCTCCCAAGAATCACAGGATACACTTCTGGGTAGCAACTGGGTAGCAACAGGGTGGGCTGTAAGCTAAATACAAGCAGTCAGTGTGACGCTGCGGCAAAAAAGGCCAATGCGATCTTGAGGTGTATCAGCAGAGGCATAACATCTCAATCGCAAGATGTCATAGTCCCGCTGTACACCGCATTGGTCAGGCCGCACCTGGAGTCTTGTGTGCAGTTCTGGAGGCCTCCCTTCAAAGTGGACAGAAAGGAGCAGGTGCAGAGGAGAGCGACGAGGATGATCGATTGGGGACTGGAGACCAAGAAGCCCTTTGAGGAAAGGCCGAGGGACTGGGGAATGTTTAGTCTGGAGAAGAGGAGGTTTGAGGGGGGACAGGATGGCTCTCTTGAAGTATCGGAAGGGCCGTCACTTAGAGGAGGGTGGGGAGCTGTTCCTGTGGGCAGCAGAGGATATAGGACTCACAAGAATGGGTTTAAATTAAGGGAGGGAAGGGACAGGATGGATCTTAGGGAAAACTTTTTTACAGTCAGAGTTATGCAACAGTGGAATCGGCTGCCTGGGGAGGTGGTGAGCTCCCCCTCCCTGCCAGTCTTCAAGCAGTGGCTGGACAAACACTGGTCAGGGATGCTCTAGGCGGATCCTGCAACTGAGCAGGGGGTTGGACTAGATGGCCTCTAGGGACCCTTCCGACTCTGTGATTCTAGGACTCTGCGTCAGCTAAGGTGCTCTCCTCACTCAGCTACCTTGAAGGATGAACGGAATTTGGAACACAGAATCCCTACGTCAGGGGTCCCTCAACCTTTCTGAGCCTGCGTGGACCTTTGGAATTCTGAACCGGTGTGGTGGGCGCAGCCACAGAATGGCTGCCACGAGAAATTTCTCTGCACGCAGATGTCTCGGGAAGTATGTTTCTAATTCCAAGTAACAATCCGTGGGGTACTGGAGAGGGGGCATCCGTATTGTGTCAAGGGGGGGGTACTGATTTCCCGTCTCGTTCATACGGTCCAGATAATGAAAACGGGGGAGAGTAGTACTGTACATCTTGTCAAACTCAGCTCTCGTTAGCCACGGTTATTACTGCCCTTTGGTTCTGTATGCCTTGAAGGATGAATGGAATTTGGAACACAGAGTCCCGACAGCAGGGGTCCTTCCCCCAACCTTTCTGAGCCTGCATGCACCTTTGGAATTCTGACCCAGAATTGAAGCTCAAATACTTTGGCCACCCAATGAGAAGGGAGCACCCACTGGAGAAGACCCTGATGCTGGGAAAGATTGCAGGTCAAAGAAGACGGGGACGGCAAAGGATGAGATGGTTAGACAGTGTCGTAGATGCAACGAACATGAAGTTGAGCAAACTTCAGAGGACGGCGGAAGACAGGAAGGCCTGGCGTGATCTGGTCCATGGGGTCGCGGAGAGTCGGACTCGACTGTGCAACTGAACAACAACAAAAATTCTGGTTGGGGGGAAGGAGTCTAGGATTGTGTGGGTTGTGGGGTGTGTGAGAGCTGCTTTGCAAAAAGCGTGTGAGCTCGTAACTGCGGGAAGCGGGGCCTCCCTTCTCTGGGAAGTATGCGTGCTTGACCTTGGACGGCAGACACTGCTAGATACTAAATTTGCAGGTGTTGGGGGAGGGCCAACGGTATATAGTAGGTTTAGGCGGGCTGAGAGAATGGATTGATTGGATGGGTCACGGGGGGGGGGCTTCTTTGAATCATGCATCGTTCCAGAACTGGTGTCAAAAGAGTCAGTTCTGACACAGAAAAGTCTTAGCTTGAAACATCTTCATCTCTCAATGAACAAATCAATGCCAAGAGAGTGTTGTTGGGAGTAAGTTTGTTCAAGAGTCTGACACATCTTATGTTTTGTATTTATTCTGTTCTCAAATATTCTGTATTTATTCTGTTTGCAAATAGCTGACACCGAAGAGACCGCCAAAGCCGGAGGACCTGCCCCTGCCCCTGGACACCGGAGACGGGACGCCGACTCCGAAGACCGCCTGGAGGAAGAATGCCGGAGCCGGAGAACAACAGCCCTGCCACCTGGGTGCCGGTAGGCAGCCCCACCCCTGTATACTATGTGGCCTTAGTTAGGGGAAAATGTATTTGAAACTACCTGTAAACCGCTCAGAGACCCTTTGGGGTCAGAGCGGTAAATAAATCGAATGTATAAATAAAAAAATTAATATGTCTTGTCTCTTTTTGTAGCAAGACCTCCTTTGCATATTAGGCCACACCCCTTAATGTAGCCAATCCTCCAAGAGCTTACAGAGCTCTTCTTACAGGGGCTACTGTAAGCTCTTGGAGGATTGGCTACATTAGGGATGTGTCGCTTAATATGCAAATGAGTACCTGCTACAAAAAGAGCCCTGCGTATCTATTTTACTCGTACACAATGCTCCCTCTAAGCTGCAGAGTTTTGTGAGCAAAAATTCTACTTAGTGAGCTACTGGCATTAAAGTTGTGAACGAGCGATTTGGCTCCTGCATAAATCAGTTTGCTCTGGAGCCCTCCTTCCTGAGCTAAGGCAAACGTGTGAGCCGGAGGCTAAAAAACTGTGAGCTAGCTCACACTAACTCCGCTTAGAGAGAACACTGCTCTTACATATTTGTATTAAAACGTTTCTGGTTAAAATTTAAAAAACCAAAGTGGCTGCCACAAAATGGCTACGGGAGGAGGCGGAGCCAGCTACAAAATGGCTGCCACGGCTTAACTTCAGTCATGCAGTGTAGATCCTCGTGCTGTGGCGGCAGCTGCTGCCAAGGAAACATTTTTTTTAAAAAAAAAAAATCTGCACAGCCAATCAAATCTCCAGTGGCCAATCAGAAGCCTTGCTGGGCAAAAGTCCTACCTGGCCCCGCCCACTTCCTGAAAACAAATGGCTGGCGCCAGAAAAAAATGGTATCAGTGGGCACCGTTGGGGACCCCTGCACTATACAGCTGCCAAACAGTTTTAAGTTTCTAAAAATCTGAGAAAAACCCAGAAAGAGAAAAGGCCTCTTACTTGACCATGTCGGGGTAGAACTGCTTGTCCCAGCCACTGAAGAGCGAGGTGGTGACGTAGAGCCTCTTCCCGTCTAAGCTCAGCTGGATCATTTGTGGACCGCCTTGGACCCTCTTCCCCTGGAGAGGAAGAGAAACAGTTGTGAGCTCTGAAGAAAGAGCCAGGGATCCCGCACACCTCTGCGCATGTGCACACAGCGAGTTATGCTTTGGTGGATAAGGGAAGACTTAACAGAGGCTGGGAGATGTGGGATGGTATCGTGCAGCCCAACCTTGCCAGATCTTGGAAGCTAAGTGGGGTCGGTTCATGGATGTGGGACCGCCAAGGAAGGCTCTGCAGAGGAAGGCCATGGCCAACCACCCCTGCTTCTCCCGTGCCTTGAAAACCCCTTGCTGGGATCACCATAAGTCTAAGCTAAGCAGGGTCTGGTACTTAGAAGGGAGGCTCTGCAGAGGAAGACCATGGCCAACCACCCCTGCTTCTCCCATGCCTTGAAAGCCCCTTGCTGGGATCACCATAAGTCTAAGCTAAGCAGGGTTGGTACTTGGATGGGTGACCACCAAGGAAGACTCTGTGGAGGAGGGCCATGGCCAACCACCTCTGCTTCTCACTTGCCTTGGAAACCCCTTGCTGGGATCACCATAAGTCTAAGCTAAGTAGGGCTGGTACTTGGAAGGGAGACCACCAAGGAAGGCTCTGCAGAGGAAGGCAACGGCCAACCACCTCTGTTTCTCCCTTGCCTTGGAAGCCCCTTGCTGGGATCACCATAAGTCTAAGCTAAGCATTGAGTCAGTACTTGGATGGGAGACCACCAAGGAAGGCTCTGCAGAGGAAGGCCATGGCCAACCACCTCTGCTTCTCCCTTGCCTTGGAAGCCCCTTGCTGGGGTCTTCATAAGTCTAAACTGAACAGGTTCAGGACTTCGATGGGAGACCACCAAGGATGGCTCTGCAGAGGAAAGCAATGGCCAACCACCTCTGCTTCATCACTTCCCTTGAAAGTTGGCTGGGAAAACCAAGCCCTTCTTCGCCTAGTGCATAAAGGAGCTTATGGAATTCATCGCCACAGGATGAGGTGACATCCACAAGCCTCACAGCAGTCTGATCCCATGGGCGTTTACTCAGAAGTAGTTGCAGTGGGTTCAGTGAGGTTTACTCCCAGGAAGTGAACATCGGACACTTTCCAAGAAGGATGAGTCAAATTCAGGGAAGAAAACATTTTGCTGGTGACTAAACAGGATCAGTACTTGGAAGGGAGACCACCAAGGAAGACTCTGCAGATGAAGGCCACGGCCAACAACCTCTGCTTCTCCCTTGCCTTGGAAGCCCCTTGCTGGGATCACCATAAGTCTAAGCTAAGCAGAGTCAATACTTGGAAGGGAGACCACCAAGGAAGGCTCTGCAGGGGAAGGCCATGGCCAACCATCTCTGCTTCTCCCGTGCCTTGAAAGCCCCTTGCTGGGGTCTCCATAAGTCTAAGCTAAGCAGAGTCAATCCTTGCAAGGGAGACCACCAAGGAAGGCTCTGCAGAGGAAGGCCATGGCCAACCACCTCTGCTTCTCCCGTGCCTTGAACGCCCCTTGCTGGGGGAAGCTAAGCAGGGTCGGTACTTGGAAGGGAGACCACCAAGGAAGACTCCGCGGAGGAAGGCCATGGCCAACCACCCCTGCTTCTCCCTTGCCTTGGAAGCCCCTTGCTGGGATCACCATAAGTCTAAGCTAAGCAGAGTCAATACTTGGAAGGGAGACCACCAAGGAAGGCTCTGCAGGGGAAGGCCATGGCCAACCATCTCTGCTTCTCCCGTGCCTTGAAAGCCCCTTGCTGGGATCACCATAAGTCTAAGCTAAGCAGAATCAATCCTTGCAAGGGAGACCACCAAGGAAGGCTCTGCAGAGGAAGGCCATGGCCAACCACCTCTGCTTCTCCCGTGCCTTGAACGCCCCTTGCTGGGGGAAGCTAAGCAGGGTCGGTACTTGGAAGGGAGACCACCAAGGAAGACTCCGCGGAGGAAGGCCATGGCCAACCACCCCTGCTTCTCCCTTGCCTTGAAAGCCCCTTGCTGGGATCACCATAAGTCTAAGCTAAGCAGGGTCAGTGCTTGAATGGGAGGCCACCAAGGAAGGCTCTGCAGGGGAAGGTCATGGCCAAGCACCTCTGCTTAATCACTTCCCTGTAAAGTTGGCTGGGACTTGGCAGCACTTCACAAACACACACAAAAGAGGCTGGGCCTTCTTGTTTTAGCAAAAGATGCCTCGAGGTGGAAACATTACTTGGGAGAAAGGCCTACTGAGGTCAGAAGGACTTCCAGAGCAAACGCATTTAAGACAGGGCTGGGGTTTGCAGAGTAATTGGAGCAATATATTTATGAACACTATTGAGAGAGCAGACAGAAATCTCTCTCTCTCTCTCTCTCTCTCTCTCTCTCTCTCTCTCTCTCGTATTATTCTAGAATTCAGGATCAGTCCACCAAACTGATTGGCAGGAAGTGTGTGGCCAACAAAACCAAGCCCTACTTCGCCTAGCGCATAAAGGAGCTTATGGAATCCATTGCCACAGGATGAGGTGACGGCCACAAGCCTCACAGCAGTCTGATCCTAAGGGTGTTTACTCAGAAGTAAGTCGCAGCGGGTTCAGCGGCTTTGACTTCCAGGAAACGAACATCGGACGACAGCATCATGGGGCTTTCCCAGAAGGATGAGTCAAGTTCGTGGAAGAAAACATTTTGCTAGTGACTCAGGTGGTTAAGAATGGAGCTGTGGTGGCTCAAGTGGTTAAGACGCTGAACTGCAGGCTGTGGAAGGTCGGTAGTTCAGCAGTTCGAGACCCGAGTGTGCCGCATGACGGAGTGAGCTCCCGTCTCTGGCCCCAGCTCCTGCCAACCTAGCAGTTTGAAAGCAAGAAATTGCAAGTAGATAAATAGGTACCGCTTCGGTGGGAAGGGAACAGCGTTCCGTGCGCCTTGGTGTTTAGTCATGCCGGCCACATGACCACGGAAACGTCTTCGGACAGCGCTGGCTCTTCGGCTTTGAAACGGAGATGAGCACCGCAACTGTAGAGTCGGATTCGACTGGCTTTCGAGCAAGGGAACCTTTACCTTTTACAAGTGGTTAAGACGCTGAACTGCAGACCGGAAAGTCGGTAGTTTGGCAGTTCGAGACCCTAGTGCCGTGTGACGGAGTGAGCTCCCGTCACTGGCCCCAGCTCCTGCCAACCTAGCAGTTCGACAGCAAGAAATTGCAAGGAGATAAATAGGGACCACTCTGGTGGGAAGGGAACAGCATTCTGTGCGCCTTGGTGTTTAGTCATGCCGGCCACGTGACCATAGAAATGTCTTCGGACAGCGCTGGCTCTTCGGCTTGGAAACGAAGATGAGCACCGAATCCCTAGAGTCGGGTTCGACTGGCTTTCGAGCAAGGGAAACCTCTACAATATGTTGTCAAAGACTTTTACGGCCGGAGTTCATTAGTTGCTGTAGATTTCCCGGGATGTAGATAAATAGGTACCGCAGTCAATTCCAGTGCTCTTGGGGAGAGGGAAGTATGGCGGTGGGTCACGGCAGAGTATAGAGGGAAGGACGCGGAGAAATAGAGTGGCTCGGCGTCCTTCCAGCCTGCGACCCATCCCGAGGGTGACTGGCAGTGGGGCCAGGATTAGAAACCCCCCTCCGGCATTGATGTTGTGCAACGCCAGGTCAATTAACAACAAGGTTGAAGTCCTTCGGGACTTCGTACAAGAACAGCAGGTGGACCTGGCGTGCATGACCGAGACCTGGGTGCGGGAGGGCGAGACGGTTGCGCTCGCCCAGCTTGCCCCACCGGGGTTCTCGGTCCTCCATCAATCGCGGACTAGGGGGCGGGGGGGAGGAGTGGCGTTTTTCATTCGGGAGGTTTACTCCTTCAGGGCGCTCCCGCAGGTAGAGATCGCGGGCATTGAATGTGTCGGCTTGCTGCTGGAGGCTGAGGAGAGTTTGGCGATTTGGCTGGTGTACCGACCACCTAACGCCCCGGCCGATAGCCTGCCATCCCTGCTGGAGGCCGTATCAGGCTGGGCGTTGGAGCACCCTAGACTTTTAGTCTTGGGTGATTTCAACGTCCATGCTGAGGACGTGACCTCCAGCCGGGCTATGGACCTAGTGTCGTCCATGGCGACACTGGGACTCTCCCAGTCCATCTCGGCCCCCACCCTGCTGGAGGCCGTATCAGGCTGGGCGTTGGAGCACCCTAGACTTTTAGTCTTGGGTGATTTCAACGTCCATGCTGAGGACGTGACCTCCAGCCGGGCTATGGACCTAGTGTCGTCCATGGCGACACTGGGACTCTCCCAGTCCATCTCG